ATTAATATATTGTAGCCAGTCACAGCAGGGAAGCTCTATACCATCAACATCTACCAGGACAGGAGATGAGGAAGAGTTCAGGGAAGACACAGAGACAGAAAAAGACCAGGATGAGGGAGAACAGATGGATGAGGGAGAGCAGATGGGTGAGGGAGAGCAGATGGATGAGGGAGAGCAGATGGGTGAGGGAGAGCAGATGGGTGAGGGAGAACAGGGAGATGAGCCAGATGAAAGAAGTATGCTTTAGTCTGTTCTGTTGGTGATGTGACTTTTTTCCATTGAAAACTCACGTTTAGAGAATGTTACAAATAACAGTCAAATTTCATTCAACATGCGTTTATTTTTTTTTATAATTAAGTGTTACACGTGCGCTAAAAAGTGCCCCCCCCCCCCCCCCCCCCCCTCCTGAGCACCTGCCCCCCAAAATGTCTGTGCACGCCTCTGTTCACCTGTGATAATACGAGTTATGGAGCTAATATTTTGCCAAAATGAAAATACAAATCAAAACTTAGAAACAAATCGCCATTTACTAGAACGAGGATATGAAAACAGAACCATCGATGGAACGTAATAACATTTCAGCAAAGACGACGTTCTATTGATGGTTCCAGGCGTTGACGTTAAGGATTTTTACCACTTGCCCTTTGGGCAAGTGACTTTCACATTTCATTTGCCAAGAAACAATTTTTACTTGCCCAGTATAATGTTTGATAAATATAGTTCCTAATATTCATTTTGTATATATATCAATGAAACATGTTTTTGTAATTCAGTATTTTTTAAGTTTCCAGGTTCCTGGTGTGTATCTGCATGCGTCAGCCTACATTACCGTGTTAACATGCTTTTCAATCCTTCCTGCACATTCTTTTCAAACTAAACTTTGCTCTAAACTGTTGTGTGCTTGGAAAAATATAAATTGTAATGTTAAAAATCTAAAAAACAAAACTTGACAGGTTAAAAACTTAAGATAAATCACAGACAGAAGTCAACGTCACAAATGAATAACTTTTATTTTAGAGTCACGGTATGTTTATACTAGATAATACTATTAATATAATGTGACTTTTCTAGAGAATCATTATAGTTATTTTATTCAGGGTTTCCACAGTCTGACATCATTTCAGAATTCCCTGACTTTTAACTGACTCAGGATTAGTTTCCCTGACAAGATAAATGCAGCCGTTTGTCGTTTTGGTAACTGCATCAAAATTACCACTAGGTGGACAAAAATCACGCCATCTGGCGGAAAATCCCCCGGCTTTTTCAAATCACGCGAGAATGTGTACTAAAACTACTCTGCAACGCTTCTGGGTCGTTTTCATCGAACGTCGGTGATTTTAAAGTAACTTTTAGTGATAAATATATATTTTTTTTTTTGCGAATGCAATTAAATTTGTACTCTCCCAACAATAAAAACTACTTGCCCCGTGAGATCGGGTGATGGTTAACATCGAGCCCTGCGGTTCTGTTTTTGTTTTCTTCTCGTTTTTGCCAGATGCTTTACTGCCACCAAGTGGTAAGAAGGGTAACAGTTTCACCAGAGGTTGGAAATTCTTACTTATAAATCTCTGATTCTTACTTTTGAATTTATGATTCACTCTAGTTTGTTCATTTTAATTGTAAATATTTGATTTGAACTCTCAAATTAGTGATTTGAGTTGGTAAATGTTTCAGTTTACTTGATGGTTTTTGCAAAGCTGTAACTTATAAATTTGTTTTATCACTTTTTCCTCTGAGTTGACTCATTTTATTCACATTAATTCACTTACATCTCATTCAGACAGCTACATATGTTTATTTCTTAGACTTAGACTTAGAGACTTAGACTTCTTTATTTGTCATTCTGTATGCACAGGGTGCATACAGAACGAAATTGCGTTACATACAGCTTATGAACGTTGCATTGATATTTCACAATGGCACGAGTTATAGAAAAATACAAAAAGTGCAGCAGTGGTCAAAGTGTGAACAGTGCAGAGGATAAGAGACAGTGTGCAAGTTGCAGTGGTTCAGTGCAAAATGGCATTTGTGCAAAAAATGCGTTATTGAAAAATACAATGAGATGAACAATTTAAAGGGCTAAAAGTTAAAAGTTCAGCAGCATTTGATGCCCGATAATGTGCAATAGGTGCAGAGTTCGGATTGTGGATCAAAGGTTCAACAGTCTGATGGCAGTGGGGAAGAAGCTGTTGCACAACCTGGTGGATCTGCAGCGGATGCTGCGGAACCTCTTTCCAGAGGGCAGCAGGGAGAACAGTCCATGGTGGGGGTGTGAGGGGTCTTTGATGATATTACGGGCTCGGGACACACAGCGCTGTGATGAAATGTCCTTAATGGAGGGAAGAGGAGCCCCAATGATTCCTTCCGCTGTCCTCACCACCCTCCTCACATTCTTCCAGTCAGAAGCTCTGCAGCCTCCACACCACAGAGAGAGACAGCTGGTCAGAACGCTCTCTATGGTGCTTCTGTAGAAGGTTGTGAGGATGGGCGGGGGCAGGCGGGCTCTCCTCATCCTCCGCAGAAAGTACAAGCGCTTCTGTGCCCTCTTCACTAGAGATGAAGTGTTTACAGTCCAGGTGAGGTTGTCCGTGATGTGCACCCCCAGGAACTTTGTGCTGCTGACCACCTCCACAGCTGAGCTGTTGATGAGCAGTGGAGCATGGTGGGGGCGGTTTTTCCTGAAGTCGACGATGATCTCCTTCGTCTTCTCCACGTTCAGGATCAGACTGTTTTCACTGCACCAGTCCACCAGCTGCTCCACCTCCTCTCTGTAGTCCCGGTCGTTGTCGTCCCTGATGAGGCCCACCACCGTGGTGTCGTCCGCAAACTTCACGATGTGATTGGTGGTGAACCTGGGGACGCAGTCATATGTCATCAGGGTGAACAGCAGGGGGCTCAGGACGCAGCCCTGAGGGGAGCCCGTGCTGAGGGTGATGACATCAGAGGTGTTCTGACCGACCCGGACCGACTGAGGTCTGTTGGTGAGGAAGTCCAGCAGCCAGTTTCGAAGGGGTGTGTTGAAGCCCAGATGTTCCAGCTTTCCCACCAGGTGCTGTGGGATGATGGTGTTAAACGCTGAACTGAAGTCCAGGAACAGCATCCGCACGTGGGTGTTCTTCTCCTCCAGGTGGGCCAGGCTCAGGTGAAGAGCAGAGGAGATGGCGTCCTCAGTGGAGCGGTTTCGCCGGTAGGCAAACTGGAACGGGTCGAGTGTTGGGGGGAGACTGGAGACGATGTGTTCCTTTACCAGCCTTTCAAAGCACTTCATCATGATGGGAGTCAGTGCGACGGGCCGGTAGTCGTTGTAGCAGGTGACTTGAGGTTTCTTTGGCACTGGGATGATGGAGGCAGACTTGAAGCATGCTGGCACTGTGGCTTGCTCCAGCGAGGTGTTAAAAATGTCCGTGAGGACACCAGCTAGCTGACCTGCACACTCCTTGAGCACCCGCCCAGGTATGTTGTCGGGACCTGGGGCCTTCCGCGGGTTGACCCTCCTCAGAGTCTTCCACACGTCGGCTGTGTCAAGGCAGAGAACCTCCTCTTCCTGATGTGGGACAGCCTTCACTGCTGGAGTGCGATTTAGTGCCTCAAACCTCCCAAAGAAGTTATTTAGTCCGTTTAGGAAGTCAGCATCAACTTCATCCACCGGGGCAGGGGGCGTGTTGTAGTCTGTGATCGCCCGTATGCCTTGCCACATGCTCCTGGTGTTGTTGGCGTCGTGGAACAGATGCTGGATTTTCTGGTTATGGTTCCGCTTTGCTAACCTGATGGCACGGTTCAGGGTGGCTCTAGCTGTCCTCAGTGCCTCCTTGTCACCAGACTTGAAGGCTGAGTTCCGTGCTTTTAGCGCGTGGCGGACCTCCTCAGTCATCCAGGGCCGTTGGTTGGCTCGGGTGGTGATGGTCTTTGTTGTGCTGACGTCCTCGATGCAGTGGTTGATGTAGGCTGAAACAGTCATGGCGTACTCATCAACATTGATCTTGTTGTCATATGTTGCTGCTGATTTGAACATGTCCCATTCAGAGCATTCAAAGCAGTCCTGGAGTGCATCCATGGCCCCCTCCGTCCAGACCCTCACCTGCTTCACTGTAGGTTTTGCTCTGATCAGCAGGGGTCTGTATGCAGGAATTAGCATCACAGAAAGGTGGTCTGAGGAGCCGATGTGGGGGCGGGGGGCTGCTCTGAATGCGTCTTTTATGTTTGTATAAACTAAGTCCAGAGTGTTCTCTCCACGAGTAGCAAAATCCACGTGTTGATAAAAATGAGGGAGAACAGTTTTCATATTCGCCTGATTAAAATCTCCAGCAATGATGAAAACGCCCTCTGTGTGTGTAGATTGCAGCTCAGAGACAGTCCGATAGAGAACACTCATGGCCTCCTTTGTATCAGCGCTGGGGGGGACATACACCGCTGTGATGGTAACAACAGTGAACTCTCTGGGCAGGTAAAAGGGTCTGCAGCTAACAGTCAGAAGCTCTATGTCCGGAGAGCAAAAACTTGAGACTATTCTAGCATTTTTACACCAGTTGTTATTGATGTAAACACAGAGTCCGCCTCCTCGGCTCTTACCGCTGAGTTCTTTGTTTCTGTCGGCGCGGAAAGTAGCTAGCCCCTCCTACATTTCTTGGTAGTTATCCCATAGTTTGGTTATTTTTAAAATGACTTACTGCTGTCTGACACTTCTTTAGACCTGGCTATGCTGGTTTTGATAAAATCGCTTGTTGCTTTTTCTGTTTTTATTTATTTTTCTTGTAGAACCGTATTTCTGTTCTGTTCATTAGAGCCTAATAAGTTCAGTTTTGGTCTCATTTTCATTTCTGATGCATTGGATTTATTTAGGGGCGTCATAGTAAAGCAAACTTCCTGCTCTTCTCATCGATCGGTCATTTCTCCATCAAATCAAATGCTAGTAAAATACGAGGCGGTTTGTGGTTGAGTCGAGGCTGCAGCGCGTTTTCTCAGCTTTTTTCGGAGACTGAAGCCTTTTCTTCTGGTTTCAGCTCCGCAGAGACGAAGCAGCTCATCCTGTCGAAGCTGGAGGAGCAGGTGGAAGTGAACCTGGGCTCTGCCATGATGTATACGCTGTTTGAATGGGCAAAGGAGAACCAGGAGGCCCTCATGGAGAACCACAGGCCCGTGGTGACAGCTGTGGTCAGTGGAGATCTATAGTAGATTCTCTTCCTATAGATCAGTTTAGTTATCTGAGAAGTTTTATTATCAGTTACATCATCGAAGGAAGCTTTGAACGCAGAATATGTGCTGTGGATTTTGTTCTGTTATTGCTGCAAGCAAAGAACAGATCTTTTATTTTCAGATTCACTTACTTTTTAACTCTTGTTTTTAAAAGGAAATTATTTTTATTTTAAGCCCAATACTACGGAAGTATATTTTATTCACCAAAGAAAAAAAAATCTGACGGCTTTTTTCATAATTACGAGATCAGTATCTCGTAATTATGAGAAAAAATCTAATAATTAAGAGATAGATTGTCGCTTTCATCCCACAGACCAATAGAAATGCTCCCTCCAGAGGAAAGCCCGCCTCCTGAAGTAAAGAGAAAATGTTCTTCAGAAAGAATTAGAAAAATCTAAATATAAAAAATTTAAATTATAAAAAAAAAGAACATAAAAAAGCAACAAAAAATTGAGAAAACAAAGTGAAAATCAAGAAGTTTTAGTTTTAGGATTGCATTGTTTTTTTCTTTTTTGTCCATTTATCAAACATGTTCTTTGTTTGATACAATAATGGATCAAAATTGACTCCATTTAACGGTAGGTTGACTTTTGTCTGTGGCAGACACTGACATCAAACACTGAGGCGACGGCGCCCTCTGCTGCAAAGAAGAGGGAGAAGAAGGAGCAACTGACCAAAGCTCAGAAAAGAAGGATGATTAACAGAACAGGTGATGAATTCATTGCTTTTATGAGACCGGAAAATAAAAATGTTAATTTCATTTCAGTTTATTTCTATAGCTCCAATTCACATCATGTCATCTCAGGTCACTTTATAGAGACAATTCATCCAGTCAGATTGATTCAAAGTTTTCTATCTAAGGAAAACCAGTTGTTTGCATCAATTCAAAGGCAATCCCTCACACTAAGCATGCTTGTAGCGACAGTGGAGAGGAAAAACTCCCTTTGAACAGGAAGAAACCTCCAGCAGAACCAGGCTCAGTGTGAGCGGCCATCTACTGAGGCCCACTGGGGTTCAAGGAGACAGAAGCAGACATAGAAAAAGAAGCATATACCCCGTTTACACTACCCTTAAAAAACTGAGCCGAGACCGGTCCGAGCTCAGTAACTGAGATAACTTGTCGTGTGTGAACGGAAACAACCTGAACTGAACCGAGATAAACATAACCGGACCGCGCTAACTGCAGACCAGTTCCCGAGGTGGGTTCGGCTCGGTTTTTTCCTGGCTCGGTTCTCTGATAACAAGAGCGCATGAGCAGAACGCGTCATCGCCGACTGGCTGAACATGCCGATTCACACTCCATTCCAGAAAGTCGGCTTCCCAAAAGCCGACTTTCTCAAGTACATCCGCGCAAGGTTGCCGTCTTCGCCTGACCCACCCCAAACACGGAAGTACAGCAATAATAATCAAGCATAACTTTCTGAATGTGACGGGTGCCGCCATTTTGATTTGCTTGATTCCCTCCTCCTTCGTCTTCTTCTTCTTGGGTTTTACGGCGGTTGACAAACAGCGTTTGGTGCATTACCGCCACCAGCTGCTTGAGTCCCTCCTTCAATCCTAGCAGTAATACCGCACATCGTCACTAGGAGGCGAGGAGTCAAGGAGTCGAGATAACCGAGATAAGTGTGACGTGTGAACGGTCGTCAAAACTGAGCTTGGCCTGGTTACCGATCCAAGCTCGGACCGGTCTCGGCCTGGATCGGTTTTTCAAGGGTAGTGTAAATGGGGCTATTGATACAAAAGGCAACCGTCAACCAGCTCCACAGGCGGCCCCGTCCAGGAAACACACAGCCAGGCAGACGAGCTCCGAGCCAGCTCCCATGTCAGAGGATGAAGAGAGCACATCCAGTTAGTCACAGTCAGAGAAACAGGACTACACTGGAAAACAGGCCAAGCTCCAACATCTAGAAACAAAGGTGTTGATGGCAGCAGCACAGCTGATATTTCTCTCCAGGATGGAGTCACAGCCAAACAGGAACAGACCAGATGAAGCTACTATGAGAAAAAGCAGAGAGAGCAGAACGTTAGAGATTGAACTAACAGATTCTGCAGAGTGGGAGAATAGAGATAGAATGAAGCAGAATGATGAAAAAGGGGTCCCTATGTCCTCTAGCAGTCTAAGCCTATAGCAGGAGAACTATAGAGATTATTATTAAAACAGTCAATCATTTTCTTCTCTGGTTTTTGCTGCATTTCATGTCATAAATGGGTTCATTATTATAAAGTTGAAGGAAATTTTTCTTAATGCTGGAAAAAGGTTAAAATGTAAAATAATTAATTCAAAACTGTATTTTACATTTTATCTTTATTTTTTTATTTAGTCCCTGAAATGCTATCTCCTGCATTTTGAGGAGGAATGCAGCTAATTTTTCTAATTTTCTGTTCCTAACACTAATTTTGTCCTGATTATGGGAAGTATGTGTGCTTGGCTAGAAGTGGAAATTTCATTAGATCATTTTTAGGTACAATATTAAAAACAATTAAAAAGCCTAATGCTACGTTCACACGGAGATTTGAGCAGAAAAAAAGCATCTGCTGCTTAATCTTTGATGCTCGTTAAGGTCACATTAAGGTCATTTCAATATTTCTGCAACACATTCTCAATGTAATTTACTTTGACTGGGAAACCGCTCCATTGTAGCTCTGCTATAGTTTGGGATTGCTCATCGACCACCTGAGCGGCAGATCGCTGCAGCTCCTCCACAGCTACTATCTGCTCACTTCACCTTGTATTTCGCTATTTTTTCTACTTTCAGACCATAAAGGGGAGCTGCCCAGAGGCTGGAACTGGGTTGACGTGATTAAGGTAGGTGCAGCGTCATCTTTTATCCACTAGGAGGCACAGTGCACACTTTTTTGTTGTTTTTTAACCCTCCTAAATGGACTTTCTCCTTTCCTGTTTCTTCAAAATGGCTGCCTGACCAACCTCCAGCATGTAAGATCATCACTATTTTTAATTCTTATTAAATTTCCATAGCATCTGTCCAACCGTGAGGTCTCACTGTTTCCCTCGTGTCTTTGCACAGCTGAGTAAAACGGGAGGAAAGGACGACGACTAAAGCAGAATACGGAGCTACATTGGGGCCATAAATTTTGTTTTACTTTTAATTGAGCATTTTGTTTTAAGTCCAAATATATAAAGATAGAGACAATGCTTTTAAGACATTTAAAGTTTCTAACAGGGAATGTCTTGTCGAGGCCTCTACACACATCATCTAAGCCCCGCCCACCACACAAAGGGCCAGCAACGTAAAAATGGGGAAGAAAAAAAACCAGCTTGAACCTGAATATGTTAAACTTTTCTTTTTCATTTCCAAATATTTTTTTCAGTCATTCATTTTTTTATTATTTTTTTCACCCCAAAAAAATTTTGTGATCAAAATTTATAGCCTTAATTTAGCTCCATAGGAGAAGCTAGTGCTCCCACATCGATGCCCCTGGTCAGCCGGAGTAACGCGGGACAGTGAACGCGCCGCACGGCCGCCGTCTGTGGCCGCCGTCTGTGGCCGCCGTCCGTGGCCGTCCCTCCTCCATCCAGCTGCGGTTTTATCTGCTCAGACCTGCCGTGTTTTCAGCCCATCAGGACTTTAGCGTTGCCTCTAACCCAGTGTACTGCTGTTACTTTAAGGTGCTGTGACTGTAAAAAAATGCAACAAATTCAACCCTTAATTTTCCTATTTGACTTTAAATTTTCTCAATTCATTGTAAAGGTTTGTATGTAAATAAACTAACATTTTGTCAACTTCTTATTTTTTTTTTTTTTTTTACTTCTTTTCAAATTGTCTCCACAAGGGAAGTCTATAGATAAATCGATTATTTAGGGAATGGTGGCCTACTGGTTAGATCATTGCACTTGGCTCCCAGAGGTTCTGAGTTCAAGCCCCACTCCCACAGACTGCCACTCTGGGTCCCTGAGCAAGACCCTTAACCCCACACTTCTCCCTAAGGGGAGGGGCTAAATGCCGAGAGTGAATTTCTCGATTGTTGGACAATAAAGGGGTTTACATTACATTATAAATAATAAACACATTAGTTTATCAATTTAATTAGACGGTGTGTTTCTAACAAAAAGTGATTAAAGAATAGACTTATTTTTTAAATTCAGTTGAAATTGAATTACATATTGGAGGCAAAGCAGGGCAGCCATGATCATGCTGCTTTAAAGCAACGCTACGTACTATTAGCTTAAAGGTATAGAGGACGATCTTTTATTTCCGGGTGGATCATCAAAATAAGTGGTCCTCCTAACTGTCAATCATTCTGGTGATATGTTTACGTAAAGCCGTCCTACGCGCTCGTCCTGTTAGCTAACTCTTTCTGCGCACTTTCAGGCGTATATCTGTGGGGAGCTACGGTTTCAGACGTCATTGAAGCTCACCTTTCTCACCGCGGTTCTTTGAAAATGGCCAAGGGTTCTTAAAGGAATAGTACACCCAAACATGATTAGCCTTCATTTTCTACTCACCCCCATGCTGAACAACACTCTGGAGTACTTTTTTGATATCTCAAATGCATCTGGAGATCTGTGAGGCTTCTTGCTGTCTGCTGACATTCAAATAATGGAGGTCTATGGCGCCCGAGACAGAAAGGTCCATAAAAGTCCACAAAAAACGTGTCAATATTCCTCCATACTGCTCGTCCAATGTATTCCAAGTGTCCTGAGTGGGTAGCGTCCATAATTTACTCGAAACGAAGTCATTTAGAATGTTTTTAGAGCATAAACAGTAGTGTATAGGATTTCCTGAAAGCGCGTTCACGAGTCTACGTAAACCGCGGCAGACCAAACCAGATGAAAGTGCGCATTCAGCGTCTGCTCTGCCGATAATGCAAGCGTAGAAGAAGAAATGTGCTGTTTACCTGTGCAAAGAAAGAAACAACGAAAGAAAAATGTCTGAGGACTTCAGTGTTGAGGAAGAGCATGAGTTCTTTGCCGAGCTGAATGCGCACTTTCATCTGGTTTGGTCTGCCGCGGTTTCCGTAGACTCGTGAACTCGCTTTTAGGAAATCCTATACACTACTGTTCATGCTCTAAAAACATTCTAAATGACTTCGTTTCGAGTAAATTCTGGACGCTACCCACTCAGGACACTTGGAATACATTGGACGAGCAGTATGGAGGATTTGCTGTCGCTATCAGACAGCGATGACTAATAACCAAGATGGCAAAAACTAGTGATCATCTGTCTGAACGGTCAGTTAACCATAAACCAGTTGGATATAAAGTCCCTGATCTATATAGAGCTGGAGGGATGTAGGGTTTAGAGCGGACGTTTGGAAACGGTAAGCTTGTATGACCTATGAGAACAGCAACTTCTAATCAGGAAGTGCACGTGAAGAAATGGGCTTAAGCACGCTTGCACTTTTTTTTTCCAAAGTGGAGAGGGTGGGTCTTCTAAAAAATCCTCAATAATTAGATTTTATTTAATATGTATCAAATCATTAGTTTTTTTTTTCAATGCCAGCTCCCAGATCAGCTTCTCTCATTGGTTGATGTCCCCTTCTTGCTTGTGAAGCGCGTCACGCGCCTCAGAGGCTCATGAGGCGCTGCAGATCCTTTAGCTGCACCATGATGCACGTCAACCATAGACGTAAGACGGATGCTTCTGCTGCTCAAAGCGGGTCAGGTGTGAACGTAGAATAAGAGAGAGATGCAGCTAGCTCGCAGATCAACGCATGCTAGTTAGAAGTTAGCGCTTTTCAACACTCCATAAAGTCCAACATTAAAGTCGAAAGGAAGCTGCTGTTCAAACCGTTAAATTTCTGAATTCTCCCAGTGGTGCCCGACTTTACACGAGTTAATAAGGTGAATGTGATTGGTCGATTATCAAGGGGGCGGGATTGTTGTGGCGGAAGTTTTGCAAGCAAGTTTGGTTGTGGCCGGTTTGTCGGAAGCATCTTGCTAACCAGTTAGCAACTTAGTGCTAGCAGGTTCCCAATGGGAAATTCCATTGGGACCAAGTAGCACTAAATTGCTAACCAGTTAGCAACTTACTGCTAGCAGGTTCCCAATGGGACATTCCATTGGGACCAAGTAGCACTAAATTGCTAACCAGTTAGCAACTTAGTGCTAGCAGGTTCCCAATGGGAAATTCCAATGGGACCAAGTAGCACTAAATTGGTGACTAAGAAACGACGCTGTCAAGGAACGCTATGGACAGCGGAAACATGCAAGAGGAGGAGAGTTTAGTGTCGGAGGTCGTGGATGAGTCTCCTCCGTCATCCATTTTTTATTTAGAGGAGGAAAGCGGGGACGAAGATGTTGTGGAAGAGGACGCCAGGGCGGCAGAAGCTTGGTTTGGTGTAGAAGGCTTCCAGCCGTACATGTTTGAGCCCTTGCCTCGCAACGCTGCCAGTTCTGTTAGCTCTACGCCTGCCGAAGACACAGACGTCCATCCCCGTGAACACTGGGACGCAACTCAATGGGAAAGGATTCTGATTTCAACCGTTGCGTATATTAGCTGCGACACATGAATCAAGATGCTATGACCGAAAACATTTGATTGACAGATGACCGTTGATATATGATTGGCCGAATTTAGGTGTTCAGGCTGACATAGAACTAACTGGCCTGCAGGAGATAACGAAGAAAACACTTATTTTTAAAACAGGATGTTTTTTTGTTTTTTTATAGAAATTTTCTAACTTTTGGGACAATATCGCCTGACATTTATATATGTTTGAGCCAGAATGATTTGACATCCCTAAGACTTTAATGGACTTTATGGAGTGAGTTTTGTTGCATTATTGTCGCAAACAGAAAAGTTTTTTGAATAGAAATTTTTTAAAAAGTACAAATTAAGTAAAATTATATGTGAAAATTTTCCCCCCCAGACCATTTTCAAAGAAATTCTGAAAACCTTTTTTCAAAAAAACACTTCAAAGTTTCCTTTCTGATTTATTTATTTTTTTTTCAAATTTCAATTTCCGAATAATGGAACAAAATTGACTCCATAAAGTTTGACCTTAAATGGATTAAAGGCCATGAAGGCAATAAAATCTGTGTCCAGACAAGTAATATGATTATAAATTAAATTAGTGTTTTTCTGATTTAGTTTTATAGATTCATTCTCCTTACTTCTTGGGTCAGACTTTCTAGAAAGCGAGGATTAAAGACGCATTTTATTTTATTGGGCTTGAAGGAAATTGAAGGTGATGCGTAAAATCCCAATTTGAAAAAAATGCATTCAATGAAAAACTTTCTGAATAAAATTGTATGAAAATAATAAAAAAAAATGTTTCAGATAATAAACATTTTATAAGTAAATATCAAAAAGTTTATTTGAAAAAGAAAAATTAGCAAAGAAATTCTGAAAACCTTTTTTCAAAAAAACACTTCAAAGTTTCCTTTCTGATTTATTTTTTTTCAAATTTCAATTTCCGAATAATGGAACAAAATTGACTCCATAAAGTTTGACCTTAAATGGATTAAAGGCCATGAAGGCAATAAAATCTGTGTCCAGACAAGTAATATGATTATAAATTAAATTAGTGTTTTTCTGATTTTAGTTTTATAGATTCATTCTCCTTACTTCTTGGGTCAGACTTTCTAGAAAGGGACGATTAAAGACGCATTTTATTTTATGGGGCTTGAAGGAAATTGAAGGTGATGCGTAAAATCCCAATTTGAAAAAATGCATTCAATGAAAAACTTTCAGAATAAAATTGTATGAAAATTAAAAAAAATTTCAGATAAAGAACATTGGAAAAGTTAAATATCAAAAGGTAAATTTGAAAAACAAAAATTAGCAAAGAAATTCTGAAAAAAAAATTTACATAAAAAAAGAAAAAACACTTCAAAGTTTCCTTTCTGAAATTTTTTTTTTCAAACTTCAATTTCCGAATAATGGAACAAAATTGACTCCATAAAGTTTGACCTTAAATGGATTAAAGGCCATGAAGGCAATAAAATCTGTGTCCAGACGAGTAATATGATTATAGAAGGGGAAAAAATAAAATATATACATTTTTTATTTTGCCAAAATCACACAGCCTTGAATTAAACTGTAGATAATAAAAAAATATAATTTTTTTTCTTTATTCAAGTCATAAAAAGTGAATAGTAAGTTAGTGGTCACTGGTTGTTTTAATGGGTATAAAATGAAATATACATGATGGTGATAGAAAACCACAAAAAACCCCACAAACATATTTTTATATCAATCCCCCATCAACCACGCTTCACCTAAATTAAATTACGAGTCTCTTATTAACCCTTTACTTTCCAGGCGTATGAAGATTCAAATAAGAGAAAACTTTCAACATAAAGAAAACCCGACCCACGTTAAGATCAGGAAGCTTCCATCGTCTTCAAACTTCAAAGGAAAACAAAAGCAAATTTTAAGAAGAATCAAAGAGTGTTTGTGTGGAAGAGGGCAGCTTTGCTCCAGCAGAACCAGTTCCTCCATTCCTGCTGCTCGCCGTAGATTTGTGCTCCTAAAGCGGCGCCCGGACCTCCTCCAGGAGTCACTACCTGGACCTGCGGTCCTTTCTGTTCTTGTCCAGGTTTTTGTCCATAGTTTTTTCGTTGTCCCCCCTACATTTGGGGCAGTACCACTTCCCCTTGGGTTTGTAGGTGAGTCCCACGCAGGAGAAGTGGAACCACTCGATGTGGCACTGCTCGTTGTCGCAGCCGATCATCTCGCCGTAGGACACCTGCTCGCAGAGGCAGTAGGTGGGCTCGTTGGGGTCGATGGTGAAGTCCACCGGCGAGGCGTCCCGCTCCTGCTTGGATTTACGTTTCTTCTTCTTGGACGACTTGGATTTCTTTTCCCGCGGCGGGGGCAGGGGCAGTTCGTCCGCGGGGTCGTCCACCAGCGAGCCGTTGGCGGACAGCTGGGCGGAGTCGCGGCTCTCGCTGTTGCGCGGGCGTCTCGGGCGGCGGTTGGAGGTGCGCTCGGGGGTCGGGGACTCCTGGATGCTGGATCGGCGCTCGGGGTTGATCCGCTCGGCTTCGCTGGGCTCCTGGAGGCAGAGCGAATGAGAGTCCATCTGGCGGGAGCGGTTTTCCACCAGCTCCGTCATCTGAGTCACTACGTGGATTTTCTCGTCGCCCAGCTCCTGGCTGAGGATCAGCGCCCTCTGCAGCTGGACCTGCAGCCGCTTCCTCTGAGCGGCGTCCTGTTCGCCTTTGTATTTCTCAAACACTTCGTCCACCTCGTTCAGCACCTCTGCAAAGACAAAAACATCGATGTGAGCGTCTACAGCCTGACATCCCGTTGGTTATTAAATCCGTGTGGATTAGCAGCGTCACTGCGTGAAACTCAGAGAACTCTAGACTATTAAGTTATAAGTTCTCTTTTCTGTTACCGCTGTTCAATAAAAATACGTTTAAGATCATTTGAGGCGAGAACATCATACTTTAAGCTTCACTATACGGCCTATTTACTGATTTAGTGCATAATTAAAAAAGAAACAGAAGACCTCCCCTGTTCAGCCAGGCCAACTATTCCCTCTAACGACCCCCCTTTCAGAGACATAGACAGGTATGGGGCATTGCAGGCTAACAAAGAAGCCAAACGACCCCCATTCCAAAGTGTTGGCTGTTCATCCGTTTCTATTTGCATGTTTTCTAAACTAAAACCAGGCTTTGTTGGGCTGCTGGATAAAACCTGGAACTAAACGCTATTTCTGACATTTTGAATCGAAAAGAAACGTCTTCAAAGTTGGAAACAAAGTCCAGTGGATTGTTTTTAATTTTTTAGGAATAGCTATGACTTGGATGACTATGATGGAGTATTAGGGCCAGGATAGAGATTTTTTTTTTCTTCCATTACGAGAATAAAGTCGTAAAATTACAAGAATAAAGTCATCATACATCAACCCGTTTCAGAAAGAAAGCTTGGAGCTCCGCCCAGCAGATGACGGCCGACCAGCTCCACCAATCAGCAACCAGAGTCCACTTTGACATCCTGCCCAGTTTGATGCTGCTGCTAAAAGATTTCCTGATTTGTCAAACCGATGCTAAAGTAGAACTTCACATGATGCTCCACATTCCTCATTTTAGGGAAGAAACGGATTCTGGTAAGAGTTCTCATAAAACACAACTTGTTTCTCGTAATCTTACGACTTTATTCTTGAAATAGTAGGGGAAAAAGTCCCTAGCCTGGCCCTAATACAGGGTTCCTACAGCATAAGGCGAGTTAAATTCAAGACTTTTTAAGACTTTTTAATGCCACTTGAAATAAAAATTTAAGACCAAATTCACAAGAAACACCAGAAAAACCTGCTTGCGACAACGTAACCCAAAGGTTTATTTTAACATAAACCACTGCACTAATGTTTCAAATGTTGAAAAGCTTCCCATACAGGAAGAAAGCTAAAAACACACAAATGACAGATATATTTGAACAATTATTTTACTGAATTCCCAAACTTTGTTTTAGCAGGGAACAAAACAAATCAGTTTTAAAGCCCCAACATAACCAGTGCTAAGTCTTTTTAGCAGCTATTTTTCTTTGTATGGTTTTCTTAGTATGTTTGATTTGGTGATAAGTGGAGGCGTTGCAGAGACAAGGGTGGAACTAAACTGAGAAATACCGGCTGTTTCTCGGTAACTCCATTTTGACGCTTTGTGTTTCGTGCTTCGCATGCGACTCCACTGCCTTAATTCCCATCGTTCTGAGCTTGAATGACTTCTTGCACTAAATCCACTGAGCCTCATGTATGTTCCCTGGTTTTAGCCATGGAGGAAACTCTTGGCTGGAGACAATTTTGGTTACATTTACACTTGCTCAGATTTTCCAGACAAAAAGTTAATGGCGCATCTCCCAAATGTCCCGGCCGCAACAACGCTTTTATTGGTTCCGCTATCGGGACGGAACCAGTAATGGCGACAAGTTATTTATTTTAAATAAAAAAAAAATTGTCAATTTTAATGTTTTATTTAGATTTCAAAAATAAATCGTAATAAAAATAATCCTATTTATGATGTTTTAAAAATTAAGACATACGAAAGACTGATTTAAGACATTTTAATACCAATTAAGCCTTAGTTTTATTTTGTAGAATTCAATGCCTTTTAAGACTTTTTAAAGGAATAGTACACCCAAAACTAAGGGTGTGCAAAATAATCGTCAAATCGATGAATCGTGATTCTAATTTTTGTGATCTACTGAATCGATTCTTGAAGGCAAGAATCGATTATTAAAAAAAAAAAAAATGAACAAATAAAATACATTAATGGTTGGCGCACATCAATCAAACCAAGTGGAATACAACTTCCAGTCCAGCAGATGTCGCTGCGGATGTGTTGACGCCTGCTGCTTTGTGTCATAAGCATGTCCGGACTGATTATCCTCATTTTGTTATTTTAAGTTTGATGAATCCTAAGATCTTTTTGTTGGTGTGTCCATGCCAGTAATAGTAATATTTCTGTCCAGTATTTGTTTTCATTGCAACACCTCCAAAAGTAATTTCAATAAATACAGCTATGTATGAATTCAGTTGCTTTCAGTTATGTATCAATTGAAGACACTATCCAGATCACACCCAGCCAGTCAGCCACTGGTAAGGGCTGTATCTTTTTCTTACAGTGTTCAGTGAAAATATCACAATGCATCGCAATATTTCAAGTATCGTGATGCATCGTGATAGAATCGCATCGTGACTTCTTTGCCAATACCCACCCCTACCCAAAACACGATTAGCCTTCATTTTCTACTCACCCCCATGCTGAACAACACTCTGGAGTACTTTTTTGATATCTCAAATGCATCTGGAGATCTGGGAGGCTTCTTGCTGTCTGCTGACATTCAAATAATGGAGGTCTATGGCGCCCGAGGCAGAAAGGTCCATAAAAGTCCACAAAAAACGTGTCAATATTCCTCCATACTGCTCGTCCAATGTATTCCAAGTGTCCTGAGTGGGTAGCGTCCAGAATTTACTCGAAACGAAGTCATTTAGAATGTTTTTAGAGCATAAACAGGAGTGTATAGGATTTCCTAAAAGCGCGTTCACGAGTCTACGGAAACCGCGGCAGACCAAACCAGATGAAAGTGCGCATTCAGCGTCTGCTCTGCCGATAATGCAAGCGTAGAAGAAGAAATGTGCTGTTTACCTGTGCAAAGAAAGAAACAATGAAAGAAAAATGTCTGAGGACTTCAGTGTTGAGGAAGAGCATGAGTTCTTTGCCGAGCTGAATGCGCACTTTCATCTGGTTTGGTCTGCCGCGGTTTCCGTAGACTCGTGAACGCGCTTTTAGGAAACCAATAAAAAAATCAGTGGGTCTGAATAAAGAAAATCATCAACCAGTAAAGGTCTGGAGACATTTTTAATGATCTGTTACTTTAAACAGAATTTAACGCTGAAACGAAATGAGGTATTTATGCATTAATGTTATACATAAAATTTTTAAATTGAAAAAAAAAAAAAAATTGCATCCTGTGCTATCTCAGAGGAGTTGACACTTGTATGACTGTATTCCTATACATCCATCAGTAGTTAAAGGTCAAGGGTCAGCAAATGCTAATTCTGCCTGTAAAACAATAACAGCGTAATTGCTCTTCCTCAACACTGAAGTCCTCAGACATTTTTCTTTCGTTGTTTCTTTCTTTGCACAGGTAAACAGCACATTTCTTCTTCTACCTTTGCATTATCGGCAGAGCAGACGCTGAATGCGCACTTTCGTCTGGTTTGGTCTGCCGCGGTTTCCGTAGACTCGTGAACGCGCTTTTAGGAAATCCTATACACTACTGTTTATGCTCTAAAAACATTCTAAATGACTTCGTTTCGTGTAAATTCTGGATGCTACCCACTCAGGACACTTGGAATACATTGGACGAGCAGTATGGAGGAATATTGACACGTTTTTGTGGACTTTTATGGACCTTTCTGTCTCGGGCACCATAGACCTCCATTATTTGAATGTCAGCAGACAGCAAGAAGCCTCCCAGATCTCCAGATGCATTTGAGATATCAAAAAAGTACTCCAGAGTGTTGTTCAGCATGGGGGTGAGTAGAAAATGAAGGGTAATCATGTTTTGGGTGTACTACTCCTTTAAGGACCCACGGGAACCTTGTAATACTCCGTCGTAGATGACTGACAATCTTCACCAGCATGTTATGCCGTAATTTTAAGACTATTAGCCGCACCTGAATATAAGCCGCAGGTTTTTTATGTTTAATGTCCGTCTTTCTGGCTGTCATTCTTTCTCGTACCACTCGCGGTACAAGTCTGCTTCCGGAAGACCTCCGCATTCCCGCGCGCGCCGCTACCGTACTCATGTGTTGTAGCAAATGTGACGTCAACATGGTGGATGGTAAAATCCATAGATTTAGGTATTACGCTAGTGGCCGTTAGCTTATACCTTCCGCCGCACGGAGCAGAGGTTACTGGGGCTCCGGTTCCATGTAGTGCGGGCTTTGTTTTCTAACAGTCTGAAGACATGAAGCAAATAGGACATCAACATGGTGGATGGTAAAATCCATAGATTTAGGTATTGCGCTAGTGGCCGTTAGCTGTAAAAGTCCATAGATAAGCCACATTGTTATATAAGCCGCAAAGTCGAAAAATGGGGAAAAAGTCGCGGCTTATAGTCCGAAAATTACGGTAATCAAAAATATCGGCTTTGGTAAAAATCGGATTCAACATGTCGGGATTTTTATAAAGTCGGTTGATCAGCCAGGAAAAAGCAATCGGTGCACCGCTGGTTAGCAGAAAGGCTCAGTTCTGCTGAGAAAATCAACTGATCCAAAGAAACTTGGAGCTTCAGGGTCCTTTCTCTGGATCCAGGACCAGCAGGACCAGCAGGACCAGGACTTCATCAAAGCCGGTTCAGGAGGAAGGGAAGGTGGGCAGAGCTGCAGTGAGCTCCCTGCCTACAGGAAATGACGTCAAGTGGAGGCTGCTGAGGGGGGTTGCTCAGGAGGCTATCCTGCTCTGCAGATCACAGAGGGGGCAGACGGAGCGGAGAGGGGACCGGGTGTTAGACCGGATCATCCCCAGATCTACCGGAGCCGGTGAGGCTGTGCTGGGATCCCAGACTGAGCTGCTACCTGCCGCCACACGGAGCAAATGTTACCGGGGCTCCGGTTCCCTGTAGGGCGGGCTTTGTTTTCTATCAGTCTGAAGACACGAAGCCCCCCACCCCACACACACCCCCCAGCCTTCTTGTTATTGAAGTTAAGAGCCCAGTGTCTCATAGCAGGGCTTGAATGAAGCGGTCCCTCCTGTATAGAGTTCACCACCAGATGTCATGATGAAAACGGTAGATTAAGCTAAATGTCATCAGAAACAAGGTTACGCTAAGATATGAATACTTGTAACAGCCCTATATCCATTTGCATCGAATGTTTAATACTTCGGCATAATTTAAAACATTAAAACTATTATGTTTATTACATACATTTACGTTTTAAGCAGTGTGTTGACGGATAACCCTCAGGGTAGCTTTGTGGTGTTCACACGGACTTCTACGAGGAAAGTTGGTATTTTTCCGCTACAGAGCCCTGATTTCTCCAAAATATTGGAGCCGATTAAACCTACGAATAATTCCGTTTCAGGATATAAGGGGTATAATGCTGTGATTTTTAACTGGGATAGCTACGACAAAGAAATATTAAAAATGGGATTCAGTTTAAGGAGTCTGGCGCAGCGCAGCAGAACGGGGCACACACTTTAACTGCTGGATTTCGGGTTTTCTTCTGAAACATTTTGCTCTTCGTGGGTTTATCCCGATTTAAATAAACGGAATCGCTGTTTGTCGGAGAGGGAAGGAAGAAGGACGGAGAGCTTTTCACAAAATGGGAACACCAGGTTCGCGCCTGCTCCTCCATTTCAGCAAAGCTTTCCCCTCAGCTGTCAATAACCCCCCCGGTCCTGGCCGCACCGAAACACAAAGCATGCAAACACGCTACCTTGATACTTTGCATCAATTTCTCGAAGCAGAGAAACGTTTCTTTGTATGTCCAGAGGCAGGGACTCCACACATTCCAGGTAATCCTCCACATAGTTGACTAGTTGCTGCGACTTGTCCGCGTTCTGGTAATGGTGGCCTAACATCGTCTCTGCGATGCATGAAACGCGAACAACACCTGAGGAAACCACAAACATATGCTGTTAAAAACCAAAAGCTGGGCGACTTTGCAGCTTCCAGGGCAGTTCCAGGCAGCAATTCACTTCAAACAAAACTCACACCACTGCGCATGCGCGCACATTTTCCTTTTCTGGTATTGCACAGCTTCCTCTCACAGTGACGTCTCGTCAAGGCGGGGCTTAGGAGCTTGGAGCTGAAGAGGTCTTTGCTGCAGAAGCATCACTAAATTACACCTTAAAGGAAAATATCGAAAATGAAAGGTGTAGCTGATGATATAAAAATGCGTTTATATAATAGTGTAACCAAAGCCAGGGGTTCCCATGGGGGCTCAAGAGCCAGGAAATGGGGTAGTGAACTGGTTTTCACAATCATTGTGATGTGGTCCATAAAATACCATAAAACTTAATTCAATTTCTGTACCACCGATTTACAACACATTTCATCTTAAAGGAATAGTACACCCAAAACATGACTAGCCTTCATTTTCTACTCACCCCCATGCTGAACAACACTCTGGAGTACTTTTTTGATATCTCAAATGCATCTGGAGATCTGGGAGGCTTCTTGCTGTCTGCTGACATTCAAATAATGGAGGTCTATGGTGCCCGAGACAGAAAGGTCCACAAAAGTCCACAAAAAACGTGTCAATATTCCTCCATACTGCTCGTCCAATGTATTCCAAGTGTCCTGAGTGGGTAGCGTCCAGAATTTACTCGAAACGAAGTCATTTAGAATGTTTTTAGAGCATAAACAGTAGTGTATAGGATTTCCTGAAAGCGCGCGCCGGCGCGTTCATGAGTCTACGGAAACCGCGGCAGACCAAACCAGATGAAAGTGCGCATTCAGCTCAGCAAAGAACTCATGCTCTTCCTCAACACTGAAGTCCTCAGACATTTTTCTTTCGTTGTTTCTTTCTTTGCACAGGTAAACAGCACATTTCTTCTTCTACGCTTGCATTATCGGCAGAGCAGACGCTGAATGCGCACTTTCATCTGGTTTGGTCTGCCGCGGTTTCCGTAGACTCGTGAACGCGCTTTTAGGAAATCCTATACACTACTGTTTATGCTCTAAAAACATTCTAAATGACTTCATTTCGAGTAAATTCTGGATGCTACCCACTCAGGACACTTGGAATACATTGGACGAGCAGTATGGAGGAATATTGACACGTTTTTTGTGGACTTTTATGGACCTTTCTGCCTCGGGCGCCATAGACCTCCATTATTTGAATGTCAGCAGACAGCAAGAAGCCTCCCAGATCTCCAGATGCATTTGAGATATCAAAAAAGTACTCCAGAGTGTTGTTCAGCATGGGGGTGAGTAGAAAATGAAGGCTAATCATGTTTTGGGTGTACTATTCCTTTAAGGCACTTTCCAGTTCATCAGATCATCCAGTCAGATTGATTCAAAGTTTTCTATCTAAGGAAAACCAGCTGATTGCATCGACTCATTGACTCTTCAGCAATCCCTCACACTAAGCATGCTTGTAGCGACAGTGGAGAGGAAAAACTCCCTTTGAACAGGAAGAAACCTCCAGCAGAACCAGGCTCAGTTTGAGCGGCTATCTGCTGAGGCCCATTGGGGTTCAAGGAGACAGAAGCAGACGTAGAAAAAGAAGCATAGATACAAAAGGCAACTGTCAACCAGCTCCACAGGCGGCCCCGTCCAGGAAACACACAGCCAGGCAGACGAGCTCCGAGCCAGCTCCCATGTCAGAGGATGAAGAGAGCACATCCAGTTAGTCACAGTCAGAGAAACAGGACTACACTGGAAAACAGGCCAAGCTCCAACATCTAGAAACAAAGGTGTTGATGGCAGCAGCACAGCTGATATTTCTCTCCAGGATGGAGTCACAGCCAAACAGGAACAGACCAGATGAAGCTACTATGAGAAAAAGCAGAGAGAGCAGAACGTTAGAGATTGAACTAACAGATTCTGCAGAGTGGGAGAATAGAGATAGAATGAAGCAGAATGATGAAAAAGGGGTCCCTATGTCCTCCGGCAGTCTAAGCCTATAGCAGCAGAACTATAGAGATAGCTCAGGATAACCTGAGCCACTCTAAAATAAAAGGATGTAACATTTATTTTATTTACCTAATTCATGATTCAAATATTAAAAGTACCATTAAATTATAAAATGCCCAATAAATGACGAAATCATCAACAAATTAAGTACAAGCGCTTTTGTGCCCCTTTTCAACTGACCGACCCTCTCAAATTAAAGTTACAGGTTTTAATAAAGAACGGCTTATTATTGACCAGGAAAATCAGTTGATATCTCTCAAATGAAGCTAATGGGGTCAAAAGGCAGTGTAGCTTTAAATGCAAAACACATTTTTTATTTAAATACATATATATATATATATATATATACACACACACATATATATATATATATTTATGTGTACACACGATATAAAAAAAAAAAAAACAACATCAAATTGTTGGTCTATGCGTGCACAAAGTGCTTTATGTTGCCCTGAAAAATATTTTGAAACATTTTGAATTAAGCTAATATTTGGGTCAAACGTAAGCAGGGTTTTTTTTAAACCTATGTCATTTCTTTTAATGTCTCTTCCTGGGTAGGATGCATTTTTTTGGATCGTATTATCTTGTAATTGACTGGCTGGTTTCCAGGCAGCTGTAACTGGGGACTCGCTGTGCTACCTTCTTGTTAGCTTCACTAGCCTAGCCGTAGTAATGGCCATTTTGAAGCCCCATTTAAAACAAATGGCCAAAAGTTAAAACCAAGCTAGAAACATTTTTGAATGGCGGCATCTGCTGGATAGTTATGAGAACTACACTTGAGCCGGTATCAATAATTTGTTACTGAACTATTTTGTTACATGATAACTATGGAGGACCAATCCTGCCATAATTAAAAATACATACAGAAATAAATTAAGGATTTATTTATATAAAATTGCTTGAAAAAGTAGCTAATAATATGGATTTGTGTGCCATTAAATGTGACAAAATAATGAAAATAAGATATTTCTTCATCAACTGATCAACTATTCATCTAAAAATATAGATTTTAACTTCCACTTTTATTTTTACTCTTCTTTTTGCATTTATGCTGACTAATTTTTAACCCACCTATTTTCTGTTTCTGTTCTGTTTTTCCACTGCAACCTCTTTTTATTGTTTAATATTTATTCACACCAACATTTTCTTATTTTTGTTTCATCCTGATTTACACCACAACCTTTTTAAAGCATGTTTTTAATCCACTATAAATATTTATTTTCATTTTATTTAGATTTGAAATGGAAAAATTAAATGCATAACGTTTGACTCAGTGTTGGATCATAGCAAACATTCGTCTTTAAAAGTTATGCCTTTATTTTTCCACATTTTTTTTCATTAATATTATTAGCTACTTTTTCAAGCAATTTTATTTTATTAAGTCCTTCATTTAGTTCTGCATGTATTTCTAATTTAGGCAGGATTGGTCCTCCATAAATAATAGCAATGTTAATGATTTAAGAAGACATATATACACCACCGTTCAAAAGTTTGGGGTCACATTGAAATGTCCTTATTTTTGAAGGAAAAGCACTGTACTTTTCAATGAAGATAACTTTAAACTAGTCTTAACTTTAAAGAAAAACACTCTATACATTGCTAATGTGGTAAATGACTATTCTAGCTGCAAATGTCTGGTTTTTGGTGCAATATCTACATAGGTGTATAGAGGCCCATTTCCAGCAACTATCACTCCAGTGTTCTAATGGTACAATGTGTTTGCTCATTGGCTCAGAAGGCTAATTGATGATTAGAAAACCCTTGTGCAATCATGTTCACACATCTGAAAACAGTTTAGCTCGTTACAGAAGCTTCAAAACTGACCTTCCTTTGAGCAGATTGAGTTTCTGGAGCATCACATTTATGGGGTCAATTAAACGCTCAAAACGGCCAGAAAAAGAGAACTTTCATCTGAAACTCAACAGTCTATTCTGGTTCTTAGAAATGAAGGCTATTCCATGCGAGAAATTGCTAAGAAATTGAAGATTTCCTACAACGGTGTGTACTGCTCCCTTCAGAGGACAGCACAAACAGGCTCTAACCAGAGTAGAAAAAGAAGTGGGAGGCCGCGTTGCACAACTGAGCAAGAAGATAAGTACATTAGAGTCTCTAGTTTGAGAAACAGACGCCTCACAGGTCCCCAACTGCCATCTTCATTAAATAGTACCCGCAGTAGGGTTTTCTAATCATCAATTAGCCTTCTGAGCCAATGAGCAAACACATTGTACCATTAGAACACTGGAGGGATAGTTGCTGGAAATGGCCCTTATACACCTGTGTAGATATTGCACCAAAAACCAGACATTTGCAGCTAGAATAGTCATTTACCACATTTGCAATGTATTGAGTGTATTTTTTTAAAGTTATAACTAGTTTAAAGTTATCTTCATTGAAAAGTACAGCCCTTTTCCTTTAAAAATAAGGACATTTCAATATGACCCCAAACCTTTGAACGCTACTGTATATTTTTTTATTCCTGACTTTTGAAATCTGTATGTGATTAACAGCTTCTGCTGCATAACAGCTTGAGTGAAGTATTTGTTTTGTATTAGCTGAGTGTTTTATAGTTATACTTTATAAAATCATACTTTAGGTAGTTTTTGACACAATGTTAAAAAGAATGTAGGAAGAGTGTTTGCTTCTGCCACTAGGTCGATGCTTGTGTTTCTTAAATCTGAAAATAGTGAAGGTTGTGCACTTTTTTCAGTTTCAACAATTTTTATTCAAAAAAAGAATAATTTCCACTGCGTTTGGCTTTAATCTGCTTCTCTTCTTTTAAGGTCAAAGTGCTGCCGGGCAATTGACCGAGCTCTTTTCGGCGCCGGTTCTCCCTCCTTGTCTCTTCCTCACTTGACTCTCACACACATCCCCAGTCAACCTACAGTAGAGACTAAAAGTTTGCACACAGCTTCTCATTCAAAGAGTTTTCTACGACGGGGTATTAGGGCCACACATGAAGAGAAAAAATATTTTTGCCATGATGAGATTAAACTCGACATGTCGACTTTAAAGTCGACATGTCGACAGTAAACTCAACGTTTCGAGAATAAAGTTGAAATGTCTTGTTGAGTTTAATCTCGACGTGTCGA